TTTTTTGGAAGGACCTACTTCATCTTGAAAGTTGCACGTATAAAGCCTTTTAGAAGCGAGGGTTATAGAGCAGGCGATTCCACCAACGCGGAACACCGCTGTATTGCCGGACCTGTAACAGCAGCCTCAAAACAGGCGAGGAAGAGAGAATGGAAAGAGGAAGGAGTCAGGATGGAACAGACACCCGTCCTCTTCGTTAGACCTAGCATTTATTAATAAATTATTTGTTTTTCCTCTGACGTACTTGCACTGAGCATGCACCTCTCCCAAGGCTGGCAGTGCTGAGAAGGAAGAATTCAGCTTTCAGAGAAAGTCCAGTTCAGACAGATAATATTAGGCTTAAATGAGAAAATTAACAGTAAGATGCAGCTAAGGTTTCAAAATTTTAATTTATTAATACAAAATGTTTGTATGACATACATGTATTGAGTTAAAGACCTTGAATAAAACACTCTGTGGCCTCTAAGGCACCCCTGTAGTTCTGTGTTGTTAGTGACAAGTCTGATCTTAGGATACATTACAAAAGGAAGAGGAATAAAGCACTGATTACAGAAAACCTGAGGTACTGTTGAAGTGACATACCTGGAAGCCAGTGTGAAGCTTGTGTTCAGAAAATAAAAAAGAGAATCCAGTGTGACAACGCAAGATCACTAGAAGCTACAGCAGGTGAGAACAGCTCCATTTATCAAAAGGCACATGCAGCCATAGAGATGTTAAATAATGCAGGAAAAACTAAACAGTTTTACCTTGTCATAGATATGCATGAAGCCCATTTTACAATGCTTGGGAAACCAAATGCATGTTTTCTTTTCAGTCAATAAAAAAGCCATTTGGAGTTATATATGAGAGGTTAGAAGAAAGAGCAACATTCACACTTGGTGAACTTTTGTGCTAGAAAATTGAGTTCATAACCTTTACTCAGATGAAAAGGTTAGGTATTTTTCCTAAAGAAGCCAGTCAGTTTCCCTGCTCTGAGGTGTAAGGGAGCAGTTTAGGAAGGACTGGACAGTCATGAACATGCTTCTGCTACCTTGATGTTCTGGACAGGCACTGTTTTTCCTACTTACAAGCTTTTTTGGGAGGAACCATGGAATGAAGTTTGCAAGTTGAAAGTTGTCAATATCTGCCTTTTATGGCCTAATATCTGAAGATAAACCTATGGCCTGAATGTTTTCAACTTAGTTAAGGGGCACTAATTTTGAAAGCTTCGATAGGTGCATGTAGGTTTGCATTAAAAAAATGAAGCAATATTTATTATTTCATTCTGGGCATATTTTGTGCCATCTTAAGTAATTTTTGTAAAACTAAAACAAATCGCTACTTAATGAAATGGTATAAAGTTGTATTTTTGGTTAATGTGCTAAAAAAGTTCCCGATTGGCTACAAAAAGTATTTTAATTTAATCTATTGGCTTTTCCTCTTGTAACTTGTTTACATTCTTGGAAATACTACGCTTAGGTTAGGTACCAAGTATCTAGCACAGCTGGAACAGGAACAGTGCCCCACACACCGTTCAAGAATGTTCTGTTTGTCCAAAGAGAAGTGGTACAGTAAGTCTCCAACAAAACCCACCTTCAAGTAACAGCCTCAGTGGATTTGTACATTCCTCCTATGTCAAGAGCTTTTACATCTTCTATATTTTGCTTACAAAAGTACACAAGAACAGTGCACCAGCTGCTACACAATATCATGAATATGCGTGTATGTGCCTCAAAGTTGAAACAGATATGCAAGATGGTAGCTCATGTAATTCAATAAAGAAAATCTAAAGTGCTTAAGGCAATTTTTCGTCTTTATCTCCTTTTACTAAAACACGACTACCCTGTTAGCAGCAAAATTCCAACACCAGTGCATTAACTACTGTACACTAACTTCAACCTTTAGGGGTAAAAATAAAAACGCAAAGCTTCCTCGTAAGAGTTATATCTGGAACACAAGTCAAAATATATTTTATGAAGCACAAATTACAGTACTATTTCAAACTCATTTCAGACTAAGCTAACATAATAGCATTTAAGAAAAAAAAAAATCAACTTTCCATTTGTGCATAATCAAGTACACCTTAGACAATTACAATTTACTAAAATAGGTTCAAGAAATGCGAGTATCTGCATTGAGTTTGAGTGGGTTTACTCAATGGTCATCTGTTCTTCATTATGCATGTTCATCTGTAGCATACACTCATTTCATTTACAAAAAAATGTTAAAAGGGAAATGAAGTAAGGACCAGATCAGACAGGGTGACCTGGCAGAGATGTAGCGTTAAAAAAAGTCACACTTGGGTAGACTACGTTATTACAATTGGATATACCAAGTGTCAAAAGAAACAATACTTGCTCATCCCTTCTAATCACATAATTCTACCTAATTCTGCAAGCTACTGAATTACCTTGTTTCGCAGCGAGTTCGAGACTCATGGGCGCTTAAATTTTAGAATCAGGTCCTTAGGGTAGTTAAGTAACTATACAAGTTGCTTCAGTAAAATCATATGGACCACCATACGAGTGTTATAATAAGCACATTCAGATGCTGTGCGTTATTGAACTTATTAAATACAAAGTCACTGGACAGCATCTTTACAGATATTACTGGCTCAGTAAAGTGTGGTAAATAAGAACGCTAGTAATAACCTGTTTCCTCTACCTGGAAAAAAAGATATATATTTTTTTAAATTAACAAAAGCTGTGACCCATTTCTACGAACTGATAGTAGTGTACAAGAATGAATACTAGGAAGGGCTCTTCCCTCTCAAGTTTAAAGTGAAACAAGCCCTCTGTAGCACCTTGTAGACTGAGGGTCACATTCAAACTTTGTTTTAAACAAAAAAAAACCCCCCAAAAAACACACATTAGTCTTTGCCAGCAACCTCTGAAACTTGTGTGAAGTCTTAGTCATGAAGGACACACTCTTGAGAACTTGAAGCAGTTAAAAAAAAACAAAAAAAACCCCAACCATATCTCAAATGAGGTATCTATGAACTGAAGGTCTAGAGTGCAAAAGCAGTTCAACTCACAGGAAGAGGGCTTTTTACCATGGCGATCAGCATCCTACATATATAAATCTTAAGCTGATATTGTGAATAAATTTCCAAATTTTAAAATTGTATAATAATCAGGACAAAGCTGTTAGTTACCAGAAGCTACATCATGGGACTCTTGCTGTGATTAGAGGAGAGGGGAGTACTAATCTGACACCAACTAAAATGGATGCAACACTAGAACAAAGTTTTGTCCAAGAGGTCTCTCTTTAAGAAGCATTATCTTGGGCACCTCCACTAATAGAATACACTCAAAGTCATTCATATTACAGTTAGGTTTGCTGTCTAGGGCTAAGATCAAAACACGTTTCTTTCAAGATCTCCAGTTAAATTAGTTTTCCCTAAAAAGAGAAAATGTGTAAACAACTATATAAGAAGGTGGGTAGGATTTCTATCTAAAAATCAAAATCCCTCCAGGATCATTCTTCTGCGGTCTGTATTTTTAAAACTAAGGTGTAGCACATTTATCTCCCAAAATTAACTGCAATATAGGTTTTATAAAAAGCCCTCAAGGACAGAAGTCTTTTGCAGGAGGGCGGGGCCAGTGAACTAGTAATGACTCATGCTCTATCCTTTTTCAGGAAAAAGGGGCCAAGGTCTCAAGGTAAAACATATGTACTCCAGGATCAGCAGGGCTGGAAGTGAGCTTTCAGTCTCATGACAGGGCAAGAAAAAGAACCTCAAGCTTTCAGTGACTACTGTTTGTGCTGACTTCAGATGGTCCTTTAGTTGCAGAATCACATTGATCCATCCTCTGCTGGGAAGAATGGGAGTTACCACAAACAGGAGCCTTGGACATGAGAGAATACATTTAAAACAAGTTAAGAGCCTGAAAAAGTTCTGTACCTTTAAAAA